CTGGTGAATCAAAATACTGTTACGACTGACAACCGAGTGATAGCTGTAGGTATTTGGTATAACCCTTAAACCAGCAGTGTCGTAGGATAACATTTTTATAGAATGTACAGGAGGATAATTGAGGGTCGTGATGGTTTGTCAATTTTAATTAATTTTGACTTGGTAGTGAGATAGTTCGGGTTTTTGTACATTTTTGATAAAAGTTTTGAGTTCATCAACATTTTAACTGAAATAAATAGTGCCAAAACACTTTTGCAATACTACCATTACCTCAGTCCAAGGCAAGTTTTATAGTCGACACTGAGAAATACACTACAATCAAGGTCGACATTTTACATCGAATCTGTTCGAGAAAATGTATAAGATGCTGGGAGTTGTGACGACCAGAACCATATTTTTGTGACCTCATTCGGATGGAATAAATCTTTCTTTCAACATCTTCAATTTGTTGTTGATGAACATTAAGATAACTGGGACAACTATATCCAGATCTTTTTTCTTTCCTATCAAAGTTACGTCTATGAATAGATAGACGAAATACCATTTTATTTGGGAAAAAATTGGTGATCTGTTATTTGAAACTCCTGAACCTACTAAAGAATATATTGACAGCTACACCCAAAACTTATCTAAAATAATTGACAATGTTAATGTGAAGGTTCAAGAACATTTACGAATGGAGAGGGATATTGGGAAAGCTCGATATGACAGACAAGCTAACTCTACCGGGTTCAAGGAACGAGATTTAGTGTGGTTATATAATTCAGTGTCGGTTAGATAGCCAAGCGGGCTGGGAGGCCGGTTCTCATTCGCTTCACTGCGAACGGTTCAGTGGATGTGCGCTCGATCCCCAGCCTGTTGTGCAGAAAACAAAAAGTTTAAACTGCGGCTAACGCATCAGTTCTAGAAAATTCTAGATGAATCTGCGGCTTAGACTAGAATATGCTGATAGATAAGGGCTTGCGGTTCGGTGATACTCCTCCATAGATCCCTACCGGACGGGCGTGCCACCTAAATACCGGTGTATATATATATATATATATATATATATATATATAATATATATATATATATAGTAAACTCTTAAATATTGGGGAAATCTGCAAAAAAAACTCTAATGTGTATCAATTATTTCACCTAACGTTTTCGCCAAAGAGAATTTGGCTTCTTCAGGGCTGAAAGAGAATAAATTATAATTAGCTACCATATATTATCTAATAAAAAACATTTACCTTACCGTGAAATTTTAGAAATGTCGAGTTATGATGTTAAAAAACTTTAGCTAGTAACAACATAGTGGTGTTTTTTTGTTACTATGTGCAAAAAAGTTTATTTGTGAACGTTGGAAATGTATGGTAGCTTTGAACTTAAAACGCAAAGGTTTACCCAAGGACAATCGAAAAACCCAATGTAACTACATTTAAAGGAAGTAATTCTTTGAATTGTAGGCAATAACTAAATTTTTAATTGTTGTAAAGTTTGAATGTGAGCTTCTGTTTTCATAGAACGCAAGCGCCGAAACAATTACAAGTAGTTCTTTTGATATGAATGTCGTTAAGGTTCATTGGTAAAACCGATGAAGTTAGATCCCAGTCTGGGGAGATATTAGTTTAGAATTTCTTATTGAAATTCCTTTTTTTTAATTAGTATATTGTTCATGTATTATTGTAATAATATCTTATTGAGATGTATCTAAGAAAAGCAAGGGAATGTTATCTTTTTTTGTTAATGAAAATTATTATTAAAGTAGGTTAGTTGGTAATAGATATATCAGTCAAGTTGGTTTATCTGTGATGTTGTATTGTTCTTGGTATCTGATTTAAGTAAGAAGTGGTATATATCGCTTAGATTCTTAATGTCACTCTTAACATTGATGGAAAAATCGTTAAGGAAAATATAAGACATTTCAATGAACTCTCTTTTAGATTTATTGCTCTCACGGTTGAGAATTGTAGTGTTCGTATAGTCCATGTGATGACCAGTGGAATGGACATGTTTGGCTAATGCACAGCGATCAAAGTGAAGTCGAGAATCACTTTTGTGTAGTGTAATACGTGATTTCAATTGATTCTCGACTTCACCCTGACCGCTGTGCATTAGCCAAACATGTCCATTCCACTGGTCATCACATGGACTATACGAACACTACAATTCTCCACCGTGAGAGCAATAAATCTAAAAGAGAGTTCATTGAAATGTCTTATATTTTCCTTAACGATTTTTCCATCAATGTTAAGAGTGACATTAAGAATCTAAGCGATATATACCACTTTTTACTCAAATCAGATACCAAGAACAATACAACATCACAGATAACCAACTTGACTGATATATCTATTAACAACTAACCTACTTTAATAATAATTTTCATTAACAAAAAAAGATAACATTCCCTTGCTTTTCTTAGATACATCTCAATAAGATATTATTACAATAATACATGAACAATATACTAATTAAAAAAGAAGAATTTCAATTAGAAATTCTAAACTTATATCTCCCCAGACTGGGATCTAACTTCATCGGTTTTACCAATGAACCTTAACGACATTCATATCAAAAGAACTACTTGTAATTGTTTCGGCGCTTGCGTTCTATGAAAACAGAAGCTCACATTCAAACTTACAACAATTATAAATTTAGTTATTGCCGACAGTTCAAAGAATTACTTCCTTTAAATGTAGTTACATTGGGTTTTTCGATTGTCCTTGGGTAAACCTTTGCGTTTTAAGTTCAAAGCTACCATACATTTCCAACGTTTACAAATAAACTTTTTTGCACATAGTAACAAAAAAACACCACTATGTTGTTACTAGCTAAAGTTTTTTAACATCATAACTCGACATTTCTAAAATTTCACGGTAAGGTAAATGTTTTTTATTAGATAATATATGGTATCTAATTATAATTTATTCTCTTTCAGCCCTGAAGAAGCCAAATTCTCGTTGGCGAAAACGTTAGGTGAAATAATTGATACACATTAGAGTTTTTTTTGCAGATTTCCCCAATATTTAAGAGTTTACTATTTAACTTATCTGCAAAGATTAAATTTCTTTTCTATATATATAGATATATATATATATATATATATATATATATATATATATATATATATATATATATATATATATATATATATATATAATTCAGTACATATACGGTGCGATGTCCACAGCTACAGAAGTCATGCGAAAGTCCAAGAACAAAAATGAAGATTGTACATCTGCATCGGTTAGCCCCGTATAGAGGAAATAATGTTTACCTACCAGTGAGATAGCTCGTATTTGTACATTTTTAATAATAAAAGTTTTGAGTTTGTTATAGACGTATTTGACGAAACCCCGCTGTATACTATTAATTAAACCAAACAGTTAATAAACGAAATAAAGCGCTTGGAGTCCAAAAAATCTACAATGACTTTAATAAGGTTATACAGAAGTGCCATAAAATATTAGTGTTTGGGCTATGATTGTTGTAAATTGGATAGGGAGGCAAAGTTTTTTTTATATAGCGATTTGAATATATACTTGGTATACTTAGACTTTTTACGATTTTACCGTATTCACGCCAATGACACCTCAATATAGGAATAATGTGCGGAATAATCTTTAAGAAATATTTCCAAATCGATGGCTATGCTAGGTAGAAGAGGATTTATTGAATGACCACCTCATTCTCCTGATTTAACTCCCTTAGACTTCTAGTTGTGGGGTTACTTAAAAAACAAAGTCTATGTAAATGGACCAGACAACATCAAAGAGCTAAAACAATGCATTACAGAAGAAAGTTTCAACATCATTTAAAATGTCACTGATGGAATCGAATTGACCAATATCAGATAGTTCATGGTGATCACTTTGAACATTTAATTTAATAAAATATCGCTTCCATATCATTTCTTAAATTTTTTTGCCATTTTCTTTGTAGTGTATTATAAGATTTACTAGAATATTTCATAAAGTAATTAGAGAATAGCTTAACTCTCCATCGCTGAACTCTGAAAGGACTATTTATTTCTTCTAAAGAAAAATGGATGACATGATTATTTATATCATAGCAATAAATATTATTTTCCAAATTCAAATCATACAGCTCTAACTCCCTCTAAGGAGAAAATTCACTTATCCCAGATACCTACAGAATCAACAGGATTGAGCTCTATGTTATGAAGCCTAGCTGGACTGGTACGCTGAAGTATCTCCCAAAAATTTTGTGTTAAATTGTGGAGAGCAATATCGATCTCTGTATCGTCCTATAGAGATTTTATATAAGACTCGGCTATTTTATGTTCTTTAGGGGATTTTTCGGCATGACTCTAATACTAGATAGAATATTGGGTATCGTCTGGGTACCTTCCATTCTATATTGTCTCCTTATTTGTATCTCAAGATCACATGGCTATCTTCTCGTTGTATTTAACATAGAGATTTTCGTTGTTAGGTAACGCCATATCAATTAGTGTTGTTCGGTTAGTTAGTTTATTATCGTATCATATCGTTGTCGTATGAGATTCTGTCTATTACGTGCAACTGATCGGCCTAGTCTAGCTTGTAGTTTTCAAGCATTATGTTAGGGAGGTATTCATAATAAGTAATATAGTTGGTTGAATAGAATAGTTTTTTTGCTAGTTTTTGGTGAATAATTTTTCCTACTGAGTCGCGGCATTATTTATAATCAGCTCAGACAAATGCAGTCCTCGATAAGATATTGGATGAATTTTTGGGTTTTACATCCTTATCGATATGTGCCATTTTGGAGCATTTTTTTAATCAACCCAGCCAGACCAAAGGTGTTATTGGAAATTATTAATAATCACGTAATCCAAAATAAGTAAAAATGTAGTAAGGAAAGCCGACAAAGAAGAAATAGGGGCAAAATAATGTTAATAATAGTAATTAATCTACATATTGTCCAAAAATAGCTTTTAAATTAAAAACTATTGCAAAAGCATTACTTGTCACATATTTTTTATTCCAGTAAAATAAGTTATTGTTTTGTAGGCTGTATGGATAACAGCTTTAGCACCGTACGTGGTACTCATCATTCTTTTAGTTCGAGGAGTATCACTTCCAGGTGCAGCTGAAGGAATTCGTTACTACCTCACTCCAGAATGGGATAAGCTATATAATACAAAGGTAATATATTAAAACCAAAGCTGTATATATTTTTTTGAATTGTTTAACTACTCACCATATAAAAAACTGGTTTATTAACTCAATTATCTTCTTAGGTATGGATAGATGCAGCCTCCCAAATCTTTTTCTCTTTGGGTCCTGGTTTCGGAACGCTGTTAGCTTTATCTAGTTACAACAAATTCAACAATAACTGCTACAGGGACGCTATACTGACTAGCAGCATTAACTGTCTGACGAGTTTTCTGGCTGGATTTGTTATTTTTTCAGTATTGGGGTACATGGCGCACGTTCAACATACCAGTATAGAGCAAGTAGGTTTAGAAGGTAAGATATGGTCGATTTTGTGTTGTGCAGTGTATAAAGATAAGAAACATTTTATTATATGAGCTATTTTTTCCTTAATTTGGTTTTTGGTGAAGAAGGTTATTTCTTATAATCAGTTTAAAAAAAAAAACAAAAATACAATAAAACATTACTATTTCAGCAAATTATTTGACGCCAAATTGAAGGCAAATAGTCATAGTCAAAGCAAAAAAAAATAATAAAAAAAGGAATTTACGTTAATAGTATAAAATTATCATCAGATTGCTATCCCAAACAGCAACAGAAAAAATAAGTATCATGTAATTAATCTAGAACACAACAATTGAAGAAGGATCTGTTACGTTACAAATTAGACTTCATCATTCTTATCATCATCATCCTATAGCCTCTGTTTGTATTCACAGTTGGACATAGACCTCCTCAAGCTTTTCCATTTAATAATATCTTGTGGTATTACACCCAAATTGCAAGATTCTCTTGATGTCATCTGATCATCGGTTGGCAGGTCTATCTTGGCTGTGTTTATCGCTTCTTAACCTTCATTCCCCACATCTTGCAATTGTGCCGCCCATCTCCATTTAAGCCTTGTAATTTATTCAAGAAAGTCATTTGACTTTCTGAATATCTTCTCGTTTCTTAGTTTCTCTGTGTTGTGCCAAGTATTGAGGGTTTGATTTTTCTCTGGGCTATATCTAACTAAAATGTCTTCTATTGTGAACAATTTTCGGATCGGTTTTACTCCTCTTCTGCTGTCGGTTTTGTTGGTGGTGTCGTGGAATGTTATAGTAGTTGCTGAATTTTTTATATATTTCTGATAATGTTGGAGTAGCGATAATATACTCTGCATTGCTTTAATGACTTTAAAAGAGCACCAAAATCCACTGTGTAGAAAACCTTACGAAAGTCTCTAAAAATCAGCACCAAAGGTATGTTATATTCGATCGTTTTTTTAATTAAGCTCTTAAGACCTTGCAGGTGATAATTTGTACTTCATCCTGCCTCTGCTCGAAGTTGATACAAATCGAGTTACCTTGCATCCTGTTTGTGATTATGCGTGTATAAAATTTATAAAGATGATTTGTTGTTACTTCCCAAAGTCAGTTGGATTTCCCTTTTTGTGAAGGATGATGATCATGACGTTATTCCATTTTTCAGAGATTCTTTGTTTATGTAGAGAGCTTATATAGTTTGTGTGTTTTATATATTAGTTAATTGCCTTTATTCTTTATTGCTTCTATTGTTACTTGATTTTCTTCCGTTGCTGTACCATTTTTAATCTTTCTAAGAACGTGATATATTCTGTTTATTGTTATATCCAGAAATTCGTCTGAGACTTGATTTATTATTTTTGATTAATTATTATTAAACTGGGAATAAGCCACAATTAAAGATAAAAATACGTTTATTGACGTTTCAACTTCCACTTCGGAACTCGTTCTCAAAATACAAACAGTAAATTTACTGTTTGTATTTTGAGAACGATTTCCGAAGTGGAAATTGAAACGTCAATAAACGTATTTTTATCTTTAATTGTGGCTTATTCCAGTTTAATAGTAATTAATTTACAACGCCACAAGAAAACAGCTTCAGAACAATATTATTATTTTTGATAATACATGGTTTCATCCTGCATAAAATACCTCATAAAGGACCATTAATTCTTATGGTGACTTTATTGCACGAAACGGGCTTGAAACAGTTCCAGAATAAAACAAAGATTTAATAAAAACCATGCCAACGCAAATGGAGAACTCATGGCTAATCTCTGTGCTTTTCACGAACTGGGAATCATTAATACATTTTTCGACCATAAACTCCAGTATAAATATATATTTGAAAACTTCATGGGCACAAATCTCTGATTGATTTTATAGTCACCAATAGAAAAATCCACTCAAAGCAGATTCTAGATATCCGAACTTTAAACTCAGCAGACCTAGGAAGTATTCCATCTGTAAGAAGCTGTGCCATTGTTCCCTTTTATTTGTCTAACTAAAGTATTCGTTTTATTTCTGATTCGTTTATAATGGTTATAATGTCTGTTATGTTTGTTGTGTTCTTTATTAGTATAAAGGCTTTCTTCTTTTTTTTTCCCATTTTGTCTTGACTTTCTCTCTAAACCATGGTGTTTTCTTTTTTGATATGTTAGTGTTCGTTACTTTCCCCTTTCCAAGTGATTCTGTTGATGCGTTAATTATGTTATATTGGAGTTTTTCACAAAATATTAATTATGTTATTTCGTCGATGTCATCGTTTTCTAATATTTCATTCACAGCGATATTCTCTGATATTCTTTTTCTGTATAAGTATTCAGTGGATTCCGTATTTAGTCCTTCGACTTTGATTTTTATTTGTATTGGATCCGCTCTCTTGGGTGTGAAGTATTGTAGGATGATTCTTATTTCACATAATACTATGCTATGGGTTCTACCTACATCTGCTGAGTTGAGGCATCTTACGTCGATTATTTTCGATATATATCTCTATCGGTTATAAGATAACCTATCGTAAATCTTTGTCCATCTTTGTCCACGGGTGTTATTAAATGTATATTTGCGTTGGTCTTTGTGGTCAAAAAATATGTTGTTTATTCTAAGTTCGTTATTCGTGCAGAAGTTTATCATCAGTTCTCCATTTTCGTTTTTTAACATCCTCATTATGTTTGATAAATCAATTTGAAATTCTGATTTATTCCTTGATTTAAGGGCTGGCAATGTGGAGTGGTTTTATATGACGGGAAGACTATTTTAAAATTTTCTAAATGGAACTTTAGAATGTGAAGTGGTATTATTTAGGAAAAGAAGCACTTTTTCATTTTGATTTTTTATTTAAGTGTCAAATTTATATAGTCTTAAAACAGTGGAGATTTTTGGTTTTTCTTATTATTAATGGATCTTCTTCCTTTTTGACGTTCCATATTTGCACATAGCAAAATAGTCAAATGTTGTTTTGCTGGCGTTATTTTCTGCACATTTTTCATATTTTAATGACAATTTCTTGTTAGGTAAGGCTTGTTAAAAAAACACTATTTTTTCAGCATTGTATATATCTCGTGGTGAATAGTTCCTTAATATCAATGGTAGCTTGGTTTTCGTTCTCTTTTTAAACTCATTTTTATTTTTATAACATCGTAAGTGTGAGTTTTTACAACATCATATTTTTCGATCAGGGTAACGAGTAGTACTCTTTTACAGTTCCCAGAAAAGGACACACTACTTCAGGGCTTGTCAGCCCTGCCCCTACACCAGCTACTTTTTTTATTTTAAGCTCCCCCTAGGATTAAACAGATCCCAATCCTGTACTCCATCTAATCCCATATATCCTTCCCTTCCCACACCTCGACCGGAACCACCTTAAATGTTCCTGTCACAAGGCAGCTGCGACCGGCGGTACTAAAATACGGCACATAGAAAATAATCCTGGACTGGCTTGTCATTGAATTTTCGCAAGCAAATGTGTATCAGCAGAATAGTTGTGATACTGCAATGCAATAGGGCAGGGGAATCCATTACATTATCATTTACAGAAAAGTTATGCGTGATGTCGGTACATGAAACGTAAAAAGGCTAAAGACAATTACAGGTAAGCTGTCAAATATTGAAAGAGAGCTGGCAAAGTATAATATTAATTTATCTGGACTATTTCAAACGCATTGGTTAGATGAAGGCTATTGTAGAAAACATAATGGCAATTGTGTTAACCTCTCTGGCAGTGAAACCCAGAACTATACAGGTGTTACCATTCTGAAACTTACCGTTAGTACAGGTGGCAGCTTTTGACGGATAGCCGTTGCCATAAGTTTTATATTGTATTTGTATTATTTGTTATATTTGTAATGTTAAAAATAAGAACCAAATTAGAAGTTATCCCATTGCAATATCAACATCAATATTCAGATAATGTTTATTTTCAATAAGCGATGCAGGGCGTGTAAACAACGATAAGATTGTATTTTAATTGTTAAATATGTTCAAAACGTATCTACTCGTTCTGATAGTAATAGTATATTATTCAGATCACTTTATCAATTTTTCTCTTTGCTCAATTATTAGATTTAGTGTACATTATATAAACTATTGTAATCACAATAATGTTCTTAAAAACAAAAGATATAAGAAACACAAATGTTGCACATAAGACTAATGGATAAATAGAGAAACGAGTGGATAAGAGAGAAAACAAAAGTGAGGGATGTTAGACAAGAAGTTGCAAAATTGAAATGGAGATTTGCCGGACACAATATAAAGACAAAAAGAAGACCGATGGAACAAAATTCTTATAAGTTGGAGACCGTGGGAATATAGACGAAGCAGAGGAAGGCCCAAATGAAATGGGTAGATGATATCAAGAAGCACGTGGGCTCTAGGTGGATGACTGTAGCGACTGACAGAGAAGAATGGAAAAGGATTGGGGAGGCCTATGTCCAAAGATGGACCGCAGAAGGCTAATTATATAGATAGATTAGAATCACTGAATACAAAGTTAGTGAAAAAATAATCATATTAATTAAATTAATGAATAATTTGCAGGATCTAGGATCTCGATCTCTGCCATATATTTACGGCGAACTCAAACAAATTATGAATCACTTTGTATTTTTATTCCAAAAAACTATCCGTTTTGCAATATTTAAACTTTTGAAATCGTACAAACAACTATAACAAAAATTATAAATAAAACTTATATTTTTTTGGGAACACCCTGTATATAAAAATTTTTTGGCCGCTTTTGACATAAAAATATAATTTCTTGGTTTTTTTTCGTACTGCATAAATGGTTCCTATCGTCAGATATCAACTAAAAATAATCAGGTTCTTTGTCTCGCATTTAAAAATTTCGTATGTACCCAGATAATACTTCTGGCCAAACGAAAATATAATCGTAAATGCGGTCCTGTTAGAGACCTACACGTGCTAATGTTTACGTCCACTGCCTCGCTTATTGAAATTTAGTATAATTCTATTTTTCAGGTCCCGGTCTAGTCTTCATAGTTTATCCAGAAGCGATAGCCACCATGAGTGGCTCAGTATTCTGGTCGATTATATTTTTTCTTATGTTAATCACTCTCGGTCTCGATAGCACTTTTGGCGGCCTGGAAGCAATGATCACGGCATTGTGTGACGAGTACCCGAAAGTGCTCGGCAGACATCGAGAGACCTTCGTTGCCATTCTGCTGTTTTGTATCTACATTTGTGCCTTGCCCACAACTACTTATGTGAGTATATGTGAAAAATTTAATATTTTGATTCAAACAAAAAATATATTGTATAGGGTGGCGTATATTTAGTTAACATGCTAAACGTCTATGGACCTGGTTTAGCTATTTTGTTTGTGGTGTTCGTGGAAGCTGCTGGAGTTTGTTGGATATATGGTACCGATAACTTTGCTAGAGACATCGAAAAAATGATTGGGCATCGGCCTGGAATTTTCTGGAGGATATGCTGGAAGTATATCAGCCCTGTTTTTATATTGGTAAGAAAATAACTTCCGAATTTCATTTATAAGTGATAATAATTTTATTTTTGTTTTAGATTATTTTCATATTTTCCCTTCTAAGTCATGAAGAAATGTTAGGTACCGAGTACCACTATCCAGATTGGAGTCTACAAGTTGGATACGTCCTAACAGCATCTTCCATCATGTGTATACCTTCTTACATTATCTATAAATTCGCCATCACTCCAGGAAGTCTCATACAGGTAACTTAAATGTACCTAAACATAAAAACACCCTTTTATTATTCAACATTCGTCTACATCTACAAGGTATTTGTTATGTTTCTTTTATGATGGTCTTCAATTAATGTAGTGTTAAATGTTTAAGTTCCCAATTATTATTTAACGGTTTCTTAACTGTCACGTTACAGTAAAGAAGGTGGGCATAATAATTAATATATAAAATGCAAAATATAAGGAAATGCGTAAAACACAGAGTCAAAAGAATCCCCTGGAAAATGAACCATATAGAGAAAGTAGATGAATTTATCTACCTAGGCTAACTGTAGATAGCTGTGTAGATACATATAACGCTTTTTTTTATTTTTTTTTTTTATTTAAATACAAAACCACATCAATCGTGCAGGAATATTAGTGGATATAAAAAATACAAGAAATATTACATTAAATTCAATTGAATAACTTGATATCTTTTTAATAGGTTAACACTGTTGAAATTTTTTTGGTGAGAACTGTCTTGAGATCATCATCTGTGAATCCGTGGGATCTTCTTTTTTCTATGGATTGAGGACAATCAAGCAGGATATGTTTGACGGTCAGAGGGTAGAATTAGCTGGAGCAGATAGGTAGTGGTAGGTAGGAGCAGTATGGCCAATTCTTAGACGGTCAATAGTAACTTATTTTCTTCTGTTTAAAGGAGTCTAGGACAGTAGTTATTTTTGGGCAAATTACATTTAATTTTGTACCTAATTTTTCCTAATGATTTTGCCATGTATTAGTACAATGGATTTTAATCAGGTTCTTTAGATCGGTGTACGGATATGATTTCAATTTTGCAGTATGGTTTGAGCTCATTCGACTTTTGTTTGCCAGTTGATCTGTTTTTTCATACGTAAATACCTGTATGTGAAGGTACCCAAATAAAATTTCTTCGTTCGTTCGTTTTTTATAGACTGTATAATAGGGTTGTTGGTATATATTTGTTTCAATTCCAGTAATGCATTTAATGAGTCTGTTACGACAATGCACTTCATCGTTCTACTCTTTTTAAAGAAGATTAGGGCTTCCAAAATAGCTGTAGCCACGCCTGTGAGTATACTGCAGTTTGTTTTACAGTGTAAGCAGAAGCGTGACCATTGGGAGTTTTAGGGCCATCGATAAAGATAAAGATTTGCAAATAATTAGGATAGTGTTCTAGAATTTCCATAAATAGATGTTAAATTATTGTGCAATTTGTATTTTATTTGGGATACTTTGTAAGTGTTAAGTCAATAGTTAATGGGTGGTTTATCCATGGGAAATAGTTTACATTTATACAGGGTGAGTGGGGAGGAACGCACCAAACTTTAAGACTGTATAATAAACGTAAAAATAAGTAAAAATAACTCATATGTTGTTATTCGATTTCATTTGTTTTCGAGTTATAGCGATAATAGCACAAAGTTGTAATTTTACTGCTACTTATCACATTGCTGTAACAGGTATCTGTGATTCGTTTAATAATTAGTTAACTGTCATAATAGTGTAGTGTCAACGTGATTTAATGTCTATTTGACAGTTTGTATAAAAAAAGTGTTGCAAAATGCCACATACTTATTCAAATAGTGATTATGCAAATATGGTGTTTGTTTATGGCTTTTGTAATGGAAACGGTAGAGCTGCTGTTGAAGAATATCGTCAATGGTTTCCAAATCAGAGAACTCCAGATAAAATGTATTTATTAGAGTTTTCAACAAACTATGCGAGACCGGAACGCTTCCTAGTTATAAAATAATATCGGAACGTGCTCCCCGACAAAGTTTACAAGAAATACAAAATATTTCTGGATTCAGTAGAAGATGATCCAGGGATCAGCTCACGAAGAATCGGTACTCATTTAGCCATTCCTCAAACGAGAGTAATTAACACACTTCACGAGCAAGGTTTATATCCATACCACCTACAACGTGTACAGCACTTACAACCAAAGATTATGCCAGCCGTATGCAATTTTGTCGATGGATAAATAATAATCGTCGTGTTATATCCCGCATACTTTTTACCGATGAAGCAACATTCACCAGAGACGGTATTAATAATAGCCGCAACTCACATGTATGGTTAGATGAAAATCCACATGCAACAATAGAAGCTAGTTTTCAGCAACAAATTTTTCGGTAGACGTGGTGTGGTGTGATCGACGGTTATTTAATTGGCCCTTTCATATTTGAGAACCGCCTTACAGGAGAGGAGTACTTGAATTTTTTACAGAATGAATTGCCAGGACTCTTACAGAACATTTCACCAAATATCAGAATGCAAATGTATTATTAGCACGATGGGAGCTCCTGCACATTTTGCTCGTCAGGTCAGGCAACATTTAAATACAAAATTTCCAAGGCGTTGGATTGGTCGCATGGTCCTATTAGTTGGCCTCCGAGGTCTCCAGACCTAACACCATTAGGACTATTTTTATGGGGCTGGTTTAAAAATGAAGTTTACAAGGTAAAAGTCGACACTCACCGATGCACTAATTCGACGCATTAAAATGTTGCAGCCACAATTAGAGCAAACCATGACGCAATCAGAAGAGCAACGTTGAATGTTCATAGACGAAGCAGAAATGCTTACAGGTCAATGGTGGTATTTTTGAAAATTTATTATAAGAACATTTAACATTAATTAATGTTAAGTTACAACTTTGTGTTATTATCGCTATTAACTCGAAAACAAATGAAAATCGAATAACAACATATGAGTTATTTTACTTATTTTTACGTATATTATACAGTCTTAAAGTTTGGTGCGTTCCTCCCCCCCACTACCCTGTATATAGCGAAACATTGAGTTGATTCCTATCGAAAGTTGTGAGCTTTATTCTTTTTATGAGGGGTGTAGAGTTTTTAGTCATATTGTCAGGGAAGACCAGGTTTGCAGATGTGGAAGAATACAGGATGCTCTTTCCTGGATGATATCTTTGCAATATAGTTCAGGGATAGTTGCTGTCGTCTTATATGTAAGGGAGATTCTCCAGTCAGAACTTGCATACTATTAACTGGACTAGTTTTAAAAGCTCCAAGTGCTAATTTTAAAGCTGTAGATTAAATATTGTTTAGTTTTTTTAAGTGGTTTTACATGCATCATCGTAACATATACAACCATAGTCGATTTTAGTTCTAATGAGCGATTTGTAAAGCTTAATGAACATTTTATGATCAGCACCCCAAATTTTGTTGGATAATATTTTGAGTATATTTATTCTCTTTTGGCAGGAAAGCTGTAGTTTATTTATGTGCAAACTCCAATATAAAGTTCTCTAAAAAATTAGACCTAGAAGTTTATTTCTTTTGACTGTTCTAAAGGTAAATTATTTAATGTTAGACTAGTTGTGAGGTGAGTTTTATTTTTATTTAAAATAATGTATCCTGTTTTTTCAATAGAAAAAAGAAATCCCGTTTTTATCGTCTAATTATGAAGCCGGTTTTAGGAAACTTTGTATAATTGTAGTTGCTGTTATTACATTATTCAATTTAGTATAAATAACAATGTCATCTGCTTAAAGACTAGCTTTAATGGGTGCTTTAATTAGAGTTCAAATAAAATTTTGTGGAAGTTTAAAAACAAAGTTTTCAGTGTTTTATTGTTACATAAAATGAATTTCCATCAGGTAACGGTCGAATCCATCAATTATTTTTATTAAATATTTAAAGGATCTAACACTGTACAATATATCAACCTAAGCTGTCTAAGATGGCTAGTACAGGATGGAACAAACTGCTCTAACAAAAGTGATATTGTTGCGGAAGAAAGTGGAAACAAGAAAGAAAGGAAAACGAAAAAACTGATATCTAGATGACATTGAAGAAAAATTGCGAAACATAAAGCTCTGAAAAGACAAGAATGGAAGTTCTTGAGAAGGCTAGAGCCAACAATGAGTTGTAGATTCATAAAAAAGAAGATTTTCACGTTAAATATCGTTAAGCGAAGATATATAATAGCGCTACAGGGCTTCTAGGCCTCTGGCTTTTAAAAACTTGATTATTTCTCTCCATTTTTTTTGTCCGTTGCTTTCTTTTTTTAGTTTCTCTCGCCTTTTTCTGACTTCTTCTTCTTATGGTGCCCTATCCAATTATGGATGTTGACAACAATTCTGGCATACTCCTTCCGATCTTGTGTGGCTTTAAAAAGTGCATGGGCATCGAGGTTTGTCCAATCCCTTATGTTTTTAAGTTATGAGTATTTCTTTCTTCCGATGCCTCGTTTTTCTTCTATCTTCCTTTCCATAATAAGCTTTAAAAACTGGTACTTGGAATTTCAAAATATATGACCCAGATAAGCACTTTTTTTGTTTTTATTATTAGCAGCAATTCTGGTTCTCTGCCAATTCGATTTAATACTTCGACATTTGTTGTGTGATCTGTCCTGGGAATTTTAAGTAGTCTTCTAAATACCCACTATTTCTGACAAGTCTTGTTTTACTACTTCCAACCATTTCTTCTTTAGACGTTCTATTCTTTGTTTCCCATTTCTCCCTCGTTTAGTTTTGTTTTAACATTTCGATACTCTGGCATTCGTATAATGTGACCAAGCATCTTTGGGCTCATATTTTTGGCGTAATTTCTGGTTTTCTGTAGTCTCATTATTTCTTTATTTGTTCGTCTTCTTTAAATAGTCTCTGCCGTCTTTATTCCTCCGAAGATCTTTCTGATCATCTTTTTTTCCAGATCTCTACTTTCTATTCTGCATGCTGGTTCATAATCCACGTTTCACTGACATACATAATTGTGGGTCTCACTACTGTCTCGTAGACTCGCAGTTTACCTATTCTTGAAACATTTTTTGCTTTCAGTAAGGAATTTTATAACCCTATCTCTCTGCTTCCCTTCATTCATCTTTTATATATCCCTTTTTCTTCTTTTCCTGTGTTCGTTATGTATTTAAAGTAGTATTCAAATAAGTAATCAAATTCCTAAATAAGTAACCTAAGTATTCAAATTCTGACACTTTTTTAAAACTATAGATGAGACTATCCTGCTCCTTTCATTTTGATATAT